TTTTTTTCCTCAGCTTTTATCATCTTCCGTTAGATTTTTCAACCATGACTCCACGCTTGAAGTTCGCTGTTTCTGTGGGGATTGCAGATAGATGTGCTCATTTAAATTTGGTGTATTTTTTCATTATTTCTCAAATTTGGTAATTTATTTATCAATTTGGTAACTTTTTCGATTCGGTCCAACATTCATTATCAGTACGCCAACTTTGCAATCGCTCTATATTCCGATGTACCTCGGCAACCATATGATTAGGATTCTATGTAAACATGTATGTTCTCGTTCAAAAGGCTACGAAACTCAATGGGGGCTTCCTTTTGTCTATACGTGAGTGGAAATCTTTCAAGGCTGCCTTCAAGTTTGTTGACATTTGTATGTATGTATATTGGCCATAACTGGACAAATATTGATTTTAAATTGCTCCAAAGTTTGAAATTTATTCGCATAATTACTGTCATCCGAGCGGCCTCATAAAAAGTCCAATGGTGCCAAGTCGGATGATCTCAGTAGCCGAATGACATCCCCTCTACGGGAAATTATGCGCCTGCTATTCTTCTGTTGAAGGAGGTATGGTTAGTGGACACAGTCAGGAAAAGAGAATCAATCCATCTCTACGTGGATGGATCAAAGCTCGAAAAAAGAGTTAGTGGTGGGGTGTTTTTGAAACAGCTAGGCTTATCGCTCAGCTTGCGCCTTCCTGGCTACTGCAGTGTTTTTCAGGCGGAACTGCTGGCTATCTCAATGGCCGCACCACTGGCACATTGTAATCCCATTTCTAGCAATGATATCCACATCTTCACTGATAGCCAGGCGGCTATTAAATCTCTCGGATGTCGCTGCTGACTTCAAAAGTAATTGTTCAATGCCGCCGATCTCTCAACGAGATGGCTGAGACATTCACCACATACGTCGTTTGGATACGAGTTTGCCTGATACAATTTGTACTGCATGAAAAATTCATAGAAGTTGGAATGGAATTTGGCGAATGAAACCGACCTGTCCCCTTGCCAAAGCACTCTGGCCGGCCACAGACGTCCAACACATCAAGTATCTACTTAATCTAAGGAAACAGGCCATTCGCATAATAACTGAAGTTCTCACCGGAGATTGTCTGATTGTATTACACGCAGCTAGACTGGGCGCACTCTGAGCGACTACTCAGAAGCGGCATGGATGAAGACGAACAGTAAACCATCCCATTATTCTCTCCCATTGCCCGTCTCTATCAAAACGGAGAGAAAAAGCTCTTGGGAGCCATTTCTTCAACAATCTCGGTTTTTTGCTAAGCACCAAGTGGTTTAGAGGGGAACGGGGATAATAAAAAACCGCATGCCGTAACACAAAGAACCCTGAGACTGAGTGATTCCAACTTAGAACTGCCGACCAACCTAACCCAACCTATTGCAGTATAGTTATAGAGTAGAAGATAAACTGTCTCTTTCTCCTCATACTATTCATAACTTTTGCAACGACATCGCATGTTTATCTCTACGGCTATGACCCATTAGATATATCCTCTCTTCTAAAAGAATATAAACCTCGAAACTTTCCTCGATTCACCTAAGACACGTTTGGCTTTCGGCGTGCAAATAGCAGAGCAACGCTGCACACTTCCGATTTGTTGTTAAACTTAAAATTGGCGTTGAAACTTGTCGAAAGTCTATCCAAAGAAGTTTAAGCTAGCTCTGAGGGTATGATACGATGAAACATATAACTTCAGTAATTTTATCCGAACGATGTTTGCATTATAAGGGATGGCACATAAATGTAGGGATTGCCGTGTGGCAGTAATTAATATTGCCCTTTAACGTCTGTCCGGTTTAGAAGTCGCGCAACAAGTGTCGTGTTCTGTTTCGTCTTAGTTTCATTTAGGTATCATTGTTTCGTCATTTGTCACTCCGTTCCTACGTAGCTCACCCCGGGTTGCACTTATCTGTCGCCTAAGGGTGGGTTAATACGCTCCTACATAAATATGTTGCGATATATTTCTACACATACATACATACATGCATAGGCTTACATACATGTACATATCTTAAATTACTTATCTAACATTCTATGAGCATAATTGCCGGCATATTAAATGGATTTTAATATTTGATTATTGCCATGCCCAAACTTGGCTGACAGTGAATGTAATTATAGTAATTTGAAATAAGAGTAGCACGCATTTTCACAGGCACATCAAGCATGTGGGTCATTCCATATAATATTTACACCTTAATATTTTTTTGGGGTGAAATATATTTTCTTACATTC